CCACTTTCATCTTAACCAGCCAACTTTCCCAAATTTTGGTTTATCTTTTATTTTATATCATAGTAGATAAGGTAACAAAAAAAATATATGCATTATATATATTAAACACTTATCTGCAATTTATAGCATAATGGAAATTCTATTATGTCACATTAATTTGTGATATCTATAAATTTATATTGTGCTACATTTAATTCAAATGTTTTAAAATACTAAAGGGCATTAAAAAATGCTCTTTATAGGTAATGTGATTTTCTGAACAAACACTTGTAAAAAAAAAATTAATTTCTATCATTTTTATTATAAATTTGTCTACTTGTTCTTGAAAATTAACCATCAAATTTGTTGCAAGATGATTAGCACATTTAGTTAATGTTATGGCACTTACATCTTTGACTAATTTTAAAGTAGAAGTTTTTGTTTTTTTTTCATGTTCATTAGAAACACATTTGAGTTGGTGCCCAAACAAAAGCAGACCTGAAAATCGAGTTTACTTGTTGGATTAGATGCCTAAAAACAATTAATTAATATTGATTTTAATTTTTAATTTATTATCCCTTAAAGGAAATTTATGCCAAATTTGGCGTAGATTTACAATTACAATTTTTTACCATAAATAAAATTTTTTCTGTACAACTCTGAGTGTGGCATGTACTATTTAAAAAATGTTTACAAATAGTATCTCTATATTAATATGTAAATAAACAAAAAATTGGTTTATTATTATTATGTATTTTTTTTTGGAATTTTATTCATGTAGTACAAACCACTATTTCCAATTACGTTATTTGGTATTGTATGATTTTTTTTTAATATTGCCTGATCCAAAATTTCAATGGTGTGATTTAAAAATACTATTATAGTGGATCATACCACCAAGGTTTGAATCAGTTTAAAAGTTTAATTCTTAATCAATTAAAAGGAACAGATAATTATTTTAATTTTGCTTTAAACTAAAAAAAATTAAAATGAGTTTACAAGAAAATATTTTCAAAGAAGTTATTGATTCTGACGATGAAACAGGTTACTATGTTGCTAACATTACAAGAAGACCACAAGATATTTATCAAGATGAAGTTTTTGAACATGATGCAGAAGATGAAGATGAAACTGACGAAGAAAATGAAATTTCAAC